CCAAATTCATTTGAAAGGCAAAATGTAAATTTTGTAGATAATTTATTCCATCACTCAACAATAGCTGCTATGAAAGAATTAAAGTTTAATGATGCTGTACACTTTTTGGAAATAATCAGGAATTGGTGGGATATTGTCAGTAATACAAGTGTAATAAAAGGAGAATTGAAGCGAAACGAATTTTGTAAGCCTATTACTAATAAATATGATTATAGAGTACAATTTTTAAAAAAAATCCTGATATGGCATAATCTAGAGAATAATAATGGACACCTGATACCAGAAACGTATACAGCTCTATATCAAAGCACGCTGACTCTACTTAATATAATTGAATATTCATTTAATCAATTTGACATTGAGTATGTATTGCCTGGAAAATTCACCACTGATAATTTGGAAAAACGATTTGGCAATTATAGACTTTTATGTGGCTGCAATTACAATGTGTCATATGATGAAATTTTAAATGCTGAAAAGAAAATACGGCTGAAGTATATTTTCAATGAAAAGAAATCGTCATTTTCTTTAGCAGAAATTAACACAAGGTTCCAAAACTGCTTAGAAACTCAAGAAAATTTTGATTTCTTGGATACCAAACAAAATCCTGAAGTTTTGGATGTATTCAATGAAATATCTGAGACAAATTACTTAGCCAATTGTGACATAGAGTATATAAGACATATAAGACTTATATATCTGGATATGCTTCACACGCTATCTCTAAAAACCTAAACTGTGAGATATGCAAATCGCTAATAGTTAAAGAAAAAGGTTCATTAACAACAAATGTTTATTTTGATCATTTGCAAAGAGGAGGACTGTCAATTCCAACCAGTTATGTACCAATCATATTCTACCATATGTATGCCATTTTTGAATCTATTATTAATGTAGATAGATTGGAAATTTTCTTCTTAAAAAGCAATAATCAAAAATTTATTTTGTGTCAGTTAACCTTGCTCAGCATTCAGTCTGACTTTATATACTATACAGTGAATTTTCTTTAACTTGCATCTGTGGCCGCAATTATGCAGATATTTTATCTAAGTTGACGTTGGTGTTTTTTGGTGGTTTTGTGACCTGTTCTATTAGTTGTACATACTTTATATACCCTCTATGGTTGATAAGTTGTTAAAAATGCGGTGTGCTGTTGTGGAATGTAATTCCGACAATCAGTCTAAACGGAATTCTTGCAAAGACATGATGACAAGACGTCCTAATCAAGATGTGATAGAAAACCTGTGAAATAGGAATTACAGGGTTGAAATCTTTTATTTAAATCCACCATTTTGTTTTGTGTAAAATTTAGTGTAGCCAGTGTCACTTGCACCGCTCAGACGAATCCAACGACACCTCATATGTGAAAATCCGTCCAGCCGTTTGACCTGTAGCCTATGAAGTAGGAATTACAAGGTTGAAATCTTTCATTAAAATCCATCATTTTGTTTTTTATAAAATTTCAGTGTAGCTAGTGTCACCCGCACCGCTTAGACGAATCCAACGACACCTCATATGTGGAAATCCGTCCAGCCGTTTGGCCTGTAGGTGAAAATATGCACGTTATCCATATCAACCCAAATGATAATCACTCTCCGCGTGACGTCATGCGCGCCGGCGGACGAAAATCGAACAGCGGAGCATCTGGCACTGGGCCGGTACTGAGCGTCGCCAACAGGCGCTTCTTGTTGCGATCGATGATGGGAGAGCCGACAAACACGACGGTGTTGCCAGATTTCGTCTTGCTTCACGCGCGACAAAGTTACAGCGTTGGGAACCCTTTTCTTGAAGCAACCCTCGTACTTTGCTGCCTCATTAAAAATACCATATAACTTCAAAAGAGGTAAAAGTAATAAATCTCTGTGGTGTCACAATTCTTTTCTATTGGAATGGAACATTCATCTGGTGCATTTTATTGGTTTTAGTTATCGTAAGTAGTCAGAACTTCGTATAATTCTTGCAAGTCGGGATTTGGTCCCACATAGTACTGCATGTCGTGGGATACTGGATGATAGTTTTCTACAAGAAGCTTCTCATCATCTGACCTGAAAAATACTTGGGTCAGTTGCTTATTTACTGGAGGAATTTGCGTCAAGGTGATTACTGTGATTGCTGATGACATAGCGTGCCTATATAAACGTATTACAACTAAACAAGACAAGACACTAGAGCAGTGGTCGCCAACCTTTTCAGTCTAACCCAACCGCCGGCTTTGTGGCGTTCAGTTTTAAACTGAGCACACTATCGCCGCGCCTTGCGTATTTATTCCGTTCAAAGTAATCGAGATCGTTCTCGAACAAATCGCTCACCCCAGTGTTGCCGCTGCTTGTATTTATACGTATACCGGTAGCTCGCGACCGGCGGGTTGACGACTACTGCACAAGACTCAACGAATTACATAAAATTAGAAAAAACAGTTCTACAAGCACCCCTTGCTTTACCACTCCACCTTAGAAACTAGTGCGATCTAACAAGAGACAGTTCGCTGCATTTTTGGCAGACCTATAGAGAAAATGGCGTCAAAGAGGTTGACTCTGCACTTCCTTCTCAACGCGGTCATTTGTTTATAAAGGATCAAGTTCAGCGGAATTTAAATCACCTCAGAAAAAAATAACAGCCACGAACACGTACAACAGAAAAATTAAACGGATTAGGTCAGCCAAACAAGGCCAGACTGTCCATCTGGCGTCGTTGTCCCTTTCCACATCTGCGCGGCAGCGCCCAGTGCGACATCGATGCGGCGAATTATCGTTCATTTCGTGGGTGTTTTGTATGCTGCATTTTGCCTGGATAGCAGGAGTACGTGGATCGAAAACATCTCTACATCATTCGGAATGTTAAACGTACGTAGATTCCAAAGTCGATGTCGATACAGTGCTAGAAATTACGGCTAGCCCGGAAAAATGGTTTCCTTCCTTTTTCACCCTAAATCCAGTCTGATGACACTTTAGAATTTTTTCACTATGATATTTCGTATTAAACTTTCTTTGGACTAAATTTTCGCGAACTTGTTTAAACATTATTTAGCTATTTTTTAAAAAAACCTCATACCAATGCATTTAAATTTTTGAGAAGAAAAATGCTTTTACTCATCATCAATTGTCCAGTTTTGAAATTACCCATGCATTGTAAGTAGAGTATGGTATTAGTTACAGGAGTGTTAGAGATATTAAGATACCTTCTTACGCTCAGAAAAATACGAGCAATTATTTCACATTTACCTTTGTTCAGCACTGAGAGATTTCAAGCATTTGAGATACTGAGCAATGACGTCCTTTTTGTCGAATATGCTCGGTCTGTCGCATATTTTAGAAGCCACTGCTTCCTCGGTGATCACTGTTACACATAACAGTGCTATGAAGACTTTTATAGACAGCTTCGCCATAATCTGCAAAACTGTACAACTGTATCAGAACAGAAGGATACTTTTTGAAATATTTATTCTCAATGGCAAACTAAATAGATCACCCGGTAAAATCATTTTATTTGAATAAAATTATCTATTCAGTAGAGGATTCGGATTATAAACGACCTTCACCTGTAGGTTAAATGGATGAGTTTGCGCAATTGATAGGAGTTTCTCCCAGCAATCCAATGATGACCTTGAATTTGACCTTGGCCACGACATTAAAGGACACTTGAAGGTCAAGTCGATTTTTTTATATTACATTTTTTACCCCATAGATGAAAAAAACCGAAAACTTTACGATCAAACGTGGTCTTCACTCATAGTGAGTATAAACATGTTAGCATTAATTTCTAAAAAATACATCCTCAACTAAGCAACTTATGTATTTCAACTAAAATCAGTTGAGCTCTCGTATGAACATTGTCGTATGTACAAAAAGAACTGGCCGATACGACCGCTCCTTTGTCCCAAGGTTGTCGAGATTGTGCAACAATCTACAAGAGGAAGCTTTTCCCAGTTCTACTAACCTTGGGCAGTTCAAGAATCGTATTAACAAAATTTCTTTGGTATCTGCATAGCAGCATGATTCGATATAAAAAAAATAAAAAATCCTTAAATTTTGACCTTCGGAGGTCAAGCACATACCTAGGTACAGTGATATAACTTGAAAGCCAGTAGTCGTTTAAGAAAATTACACAGACATTATTTTCGCGATTTTTTTCCCGCATGTTCAGTGGTGATTTTGGATTTGACCTTGGTCATGCGTTTAGGGTCATTTGAAGGTCAACTCTTTTTTATTGGGACCCTATAATTCTGACTGCGGTACAATGGAGAGAAGGTAAAATTCTATGTTTGGATATGTCCTTGACCATTTTTAGAGCTTGACCTTGGACTTAACCATCAAGGTCAAACAAAAGTTTACATTAATATCCTGATAATTCAGAAAGCTGCGTAACCCCCAGATAGACTGATTTTACTGTTCTATAACGATTGTTTGCTTACTACAAGAATCGACGTGACCTTCACATGAAATGTTTTGACGCTTGCGATCGAGCGTAACCTCACTTATGCTATTCTACATTTTTATCTAAAAGGTTACCCCCCGATAATTTGTGAATGGTAGGAAAAACGAAGCCCTGCGATTGGCGATTGATGGGAGTTGCGTCCAGCAATCTAATGGTGACATTGAATTTGACCTTGACCTTAACCTTCAGGTCAGTTGAAAGTCAAGACGGTTTTTTTAATTAAATTTTTGATCCCGTAAATGAAAGTGCGGAAAATTTTCGATCAAATTCGTAAATTTTGACCTTGTGTAGTCATGCTCAAGGTCAAACTCAGGTATGGTGATGTAACTTGAAAGCCAGAAAACTACAAAGACATTATTTTTACGATTTTTTCCGGATATTCAGTAACCTTGGATTCGACATTGGCAGTGGCTTTCAGGGTCATTGAAGGTCAATTCTTTTTTAATGGGACCCTATACTTTTGACCGCGAAAATCGGGGCGAATATGGAGAAAATGTTTGGATATGTCCTCGACAATTTTTAGAACTTGACTTTGGACTTGACCATCAAGGTCAAATACAAGCTTACCTTAATTAATCGAGAGTCGTGTTAACGTCAGTTTACGTCAGTTGTGTGTCTGATGAAAAAGTAGCCAGAGTCAAAATTAATCAGTGAAATCGTGAATCGCAGTAGTGTCGCACAAATCAGAATGGCCCCACACACTAACTCGAGCCACAAAAAATCGTCAAGAAGGTCTAGAGGAAGTTCCAGACAACAGAGACATGTAGCAGAAAAAATTGTGAGGTTTCCTAAGAAGGAGCAGCCTGTTAAGAGAAAATCTTCAACTGCTGTTAAGCAATCCGAGAACTACGAAAGTCTGATTCTGTATTATTTGGCAAAGCTGAGGAGACTGTTCGGCTCCGCGGATCATCCGACACCTGGGAACAGAGAGAATAGTGCTGTAAAGATGCGGAACGAAAACAGCGGCAATGTCGGAAGGCAAGACGGACCACACTCTATCAATCCAAACAGGTACACAGCTAGGCGTTCCTCTCCCCGACCGCGTGACAATCTTACCGAAGAGATGAAAGAGCAGGCATTCAGCATCGTAAACGCGGCTATAGAATATGGATACGCCAACAACGTGATCGGCAGAAGAACGGCAACTGCTTCTATCTAAAAGGAAGCAAAAGCTGCAAGAACCTTCCCGTCAATTGTTCAATGCTTGATAGCAGATACGGATGCAGGCAGTGCGCCAGTAGCATGAACAACAACCATGTTGAGGTGTTGAAACCACCAGCTGGTATGCTAAACCAAAACGGAGAGTTTGTCAGGGTAACCCGGGCTATGGCTGATGGCAGTAAGAGGTACTATTTGCCCGACAAGCAGAGTTCCAGGAATATGCCCACAAGGACATCATCGTGTATAAATCCAGTAATTACCAAAAGTGGTAGAGTGAGCAAGGCATGTCGCTGCAGTAGGTGCCGTTATCAAGCTATGCCTCCAATTAAGGATCATCATGTCACTTGAGAAGACTTCCCACACGTTTGTGATCATCATGTGTGAAATATGTGATTGTTTTGGGATGAAATAAAATACCTATATGTAACCTTATTTCTTGATAATTCAGAAAACTGTATAATCCCCAGATACGACTTGACTTTCACATGAAATGTTTTGACGTTTGCGAGGAAACGTAACCTCACTTATGCCATTCTACAGGATGTCTAAAAAGTTCCGTATCACTCCGATAATTGTGAGCTAATAATGGTAGGAAAAACGAAGCCCCACGAATGACGGGAGTCCAATGGTGACCTTAAATTTGACCTTGACCATAAACGTCAAGGTTACATGAGAGTCAGGTCGATTATTTTAAATTAAGTTTAGGCCGTAACTGAAAAAAGGGGAACATTAGTATTTAAATACGGTCGTGACCATTCTCAAAACTTGACCTTGGGAGGTCAAGCACATACTTAGGTACGGTGATATAATTTGAAAGCTAGTAGTCGTTTAAGAAAATTACACAGATATTATTTTCACGATTTGTTCCCCGTATATTCAGTGGTGATCTTGGATTTAACCTTGGCCATGACTTTTACGGTCATTTGAAGGTCAACTCTTTGTAATTGGGACTCTATACTTTTGACTGCGATAAAATGGAGAGAAGGGAAAATTTTTCAGAACTTGACAAGGTCAAACAAAAGTTTACTTTAATATCCTGATAATTCAGAAAACTGTGTAACCAAGATAGATTGACTTTACTGTTCTTTCAAGGATTGTTCTCTTACTACAAAATCGACTTGACCTTCACATGAAATGTTTTGACGTTTGCGATTGAGCGTAACCTCGACATTGGCCATGGCTTTCAGGGTCATTGAAGGTCAATTCTTTTTAATGGGACCCTATACTTTTGACCGCGAAAATCGGGGCGAAAATGGAGAAAATGTTTGGATATGTCCTCAACCATTTTTGGAACTTGACTTTGGACTTGACCTTCAAGGTCAAAAACAAGGTTACCTTAATTTCTTGATAATTCAAAACTGTATAATCGCCAGATAGATTGACATTACTGTTCTTTAAGGATTGTTCCCTGATTACAGAAAATGACTTAACTTTCACATGAAATGTTTTGACGCTAGTAGCCGTAACTCACTTATGCTATTTATTCTACAGGATGTCTAAAACGTTCCGGAAGCCTCCGATAATTTGTGAGCTAATAATCCTAGGAAAAACGAAGCCCCATGAATGACAGGAGTAGTATAATGGTGACCTTAAATTTGACCTTGACCATAAACGTCAAGGTTACTTGAGGGTCAAGTCGATTATTGCAAATTAAATTTTGATCGTAAATGAAAAAACGGGAACATTTTGTGTTCAAGTACGGTCTTGACCGTTCTTAAAATTTGACCTTAGGAGGTCAAGGTCAAACTCAGGTACGGTAATACAACTTGAAAGTCAGTAGTCGTATGTTTTCACGATTTTTTCCCGGATATCCAGTGACGACCTTTGATTTGATCTTGGCCATGAATTTCAAGGTCATTCGAAGGTCAACTCTTTTCTAATGGGAGCCTATGCTTGTGATCGCAAAAATCAGGGCGAAAATGGACAAAAGAGAAAACGTTATGCTCGGATATGTCCTTGACCATTTTTAGAACTTGACCAAACACAAGTGTTCCTTAATTTCCTGATAATTCAGTAAACTTTACTACTGTGCCAGGGACTAAAAAGTTGTCACGCGTTGCAACCTATAACAATTTATATTTACATATTTAAATGACAGGAATCTTTTTCCATCATACTGTCTACTGTACTCGCAAAGTCAAATCCTTTGCACACTCACAAAGATAGATACTTTCATTGCGCAAAGGCAATAACATCTAACCACATTCTGGCGTTTGGTCATTTAAGGAAACCGTTGTCTCATTATTTACGACAAAATGTACACGCTTCGGAAACATGTTGAACAGTTGTGTGTCTGGAGGATGGGCGTGTATGTTAATATGAATACAGAAAGCTCATTTTTTTACGGTTAATTAGCTTACCTAATAATTGAAAATGCCTAGGGAGACACGAGGCAATTTTACAGCTACGGATAATTGAATAACGTGAAAGAGAACTTGTGTTTTGTGAAAATGTCATTAAATGGGTTAGCGGCGTACAGTGGTGGCTGGTAAAGGGAAATTATTAACACGTCTTGAAAACAAAACCGCAGCAAAATAACAAATTTTAAATTCACTAACAGAGGTAAGGATGAGGACGAACTTCAGTATCTGCTATGTATCTACTATATACATTACGGTGTTCCACAAAATGAAACTTATTTTTTTCAAACACATAGCCTCTTACGAGTATTTTATTTGAACAATGTCAAAACTATACTAAGTGACATATAAATCCGAACACCCAGTTTAAATGGTTTTATTTTAATACAATTTTGTATAAGTACTTAATGAAGCATAATAAGTAAATGATAAAAATTTCAAAATGATTGCACTGCTTTAAAGCCCTTTGACCTTTAATAATGTGTGGATGCACCCTGATGTGCTACGCATTCTCCAACGCACCTAGACATGCTTCTGATCAGGTGGTCAATGTTCTCCTGTGGTATCTCATTCCAGGCAACCACCAACCCCTCTCGAAGTGCTTCTAGAGTCTGAGGAGGACGTTGCAAATTGAGCAATCTCCTACCCATCATATCCCACACGTGCTCAATTGGGGATAAGTCGGGAGATCTTGGTGGCCATGGTAACAATGTTGAAAGAAGTCTATTGTGACTCTTGCAAAAAGTGGTCGGGCATTATCTTGTTGAAAAGTTGGATCTGCCAGGGTGTCAAGATAGGGTAAAAGATAGGGTTCTAGAACTTCGTGGATATAACGCTGCGCGTTCATGTTACCTCTGATGAAGATTAAATGTGACCTGGAACCATAAGCTATAGCACCCCAAACCATAACTCCAACAGTGTGATGAACATGTTTTTCAACAAAAAACTGTGGATTCTTCCTTTCACCACGTCGCCTTCTAACCCTGGCACGACCATCGTGCATGCCTAAAAAAAATCGAGACTCGTCACTAAAGACAATACTGTTCCATTCCTGATCCCAGAGTGACCCTTGTCTGCACCACTCAAGGCGATTACGTCGGTATTCTCGAGTTAAAGGGAGGACCTAGTGTGGCCGGTATGAAAACAAGCCAAAACTTCTCATTCGTCGGTAAACTCTTCGCGTGCCAATAGGTCTTCCGTGTTCTGCAAACCATTCATTTGCAATGGACCTGGTAGTGGAGAAACGATCCCTTAAGGCCAATAATCTTAGGCGGCGATCTTCACGGTCTGTTGTTCTACGGCGGCGTCCAGTGCCCCTTGCTCTTTGCGTACGGCCTTCTCGAAGCCATGCCTGACAACACCTAACCACAGTGTCTACACGTCTTTGCACTCTAACTGCAATTGCCCGAAAAGAAAGTCCAGCTTCCCGAAGTCCCACTATACGGCCCCTATCAAACTCACTAAGTTGACGAAATCGTACAGGTCTCCGTACTCTAGGCATCGTAACCGATCGTAAAGGTTGTCAAGAACCAAAATCCGCCAACGTTGATTCTTTACTGCGGCTGAAATATTCATTTTTAGAGCGTTAGTGAATTAAAAAAAAGCAGTATAAAAACCGGAATGTCCAACTGATAAGGCTGAACATTTTTTCACTTGTTATTTACAGTAAGAGAAATACATTCACCAACTTTTATTAAAATAAAACCATTTAAACTGGGTGTTCGGATTTATATGTCACTTAGTATATTTAATGCTATCCCACAATTACTTCTGCAGCGAGTGGCATGGCATACGTAATGGTCAACATTTAGTTGACATGATTTTTAAGAAACAAACTCCTCACTATTCTTCATTATAATAATTATCGCAATCGATGTTTACCTTTTGTAATCTTTTTTTTAATTTGGATTTTAAGTCCGAATTCTGCCACCGGCTTCTTTAACTACTTCGACACCATCTTACAAACCAGTGCAAGAATATTCATGTTCAGATTCAGAGATAGATTTACAAGAAAGCTTGCCCATCCAAACTCAGAGCACTCTGCCTGATACTAATCAAACTCAAATGAGAAAAAGTTTCATAGCTCCAAAATCAGTGGCAGCATTAGGTGTCAGTTAAGAATTAGAAATCCTGTTTTTATTATTGAAGCAACCATTGTGGCACTTGGTCATAACACTGGTGAGTTTCCTATAAGCAAGTTTTCCATTTAAAGAATTCGTATTACAAAGCGAAAGGAGCGCGCAGAAGCTGTAGAAATAACAATATTTTTTAAGTCGTAAGGATACCGTTGGCTACAATTTTTGTATTCAATTTTTTATATACAATGCGTAATAACGCAACTGTGTATCGAGCCCACACTGAAAACTCACCCTATAAGTCTGTCATATTTCTTTTTTAAATACAAATGTTTGGAAAATATGTACTGTGTTTACTAGCGGGCCCAAGGGCTTTTTAATAAGATACTTTCTTATATATGAAGGATGCAACATTTATAATTTCCAACTCCCTCCCCCCCGATTTTCATTGTCTGCACAAATATTCTGAAAGCGATCAAGAGCCGCAGTTTGAGAGGTTTTTACTTTTCGTTTCGATCGCCATTCGTAATTTTCCGAGATTATAAATTCATTCGAATTAGTAATAAAAAAGTTACTTACTTGGTTATATTTATAAGCAGATCAATGGAGCGACTGAAGCTTAGTGTCTGGTTTACCTACTGAAAATATATGAGACACGTGCGTGAGGGTTGCTTTACAGGCAATTAATTACAGTTACGAGGGTACTAGAAAATAAATCTACCGAGCCATGTGACGTACGTTTTTTTTTTTGGTAATTTTATGTTTGTATATAATCCCCCTAGATCAATGCACTTGCGACGTTTGTCATCCTGTGAATCCTTATAAAAAATGATTCCTCTTGACTCTCAAAAAAGTTGTCCAGCTCTGCTTTTAGGCCAGCATCTGAGTCAAAACAGGGTCCTCGCAGATTTTTACTTAGTAATCTGAAGCGATAAAAGTCAGGCTGAGTTAAGCCCAGACTGTAGGAAGGATGGTCGATATCAGAGTTCCCCAAACTT